TTATATATATATATATATATATATATATATATATATATATGTATATATGTATATATATACATACATGTCTATCTATCTATCTATCTGTCTATCTATCTATCTATCTATCTATCTATATCTATCTATATATATATATATATATATATATATATATATATATATATATATAAATATGTGTGTGTGTTTGAGTGTGTGTCCATATTCATACCCAACCACGTCAAGCTTTTCAGCCAGAAAGGACATTGTTATATTATGCGTTTAGTTATCCGCGTAGAAGAGGCCTTTCCAGCGCTCGTTCGGAGGGCGTCCGCGCGTCCATTATGCGTAGCAGTGGACGCGTAATTAGCATGTGGACTGCCAGGTCTTTATAGGAGAGGCTCGCGTGCCCCGGTAGGCCTCGTGGTCGCCGGCCAACCTGTCCGGTCCGCTGCCGTGATGCGCGCCTGCGTTGGAGTTTGCTCGGTGATAGGTCTTTGTTTACTTATATAGGATTATTTTCTTTTAGTTTTTTTTTTATGTGAGATTTTGGTTTCCTTTGTTCCTTTGTTAGAAGACGGTAAGCGAAGGAGCTTGTGTGAAACCCGAGAGAGTTGCTAAGGTTATGACCGGGTATGACCGCAGCAATTTTACTATGCTTCTGCAGGAACGATCATTATTGTTCAAAAGATTTCACTCGCTCAGACAACAAGATGCATATCTGAAGGTCAAGAAAAGAGGCATCAGGCATTTACATTTACAAAACCAAGGCAGTTACTGGGAGGGAGAAACTGTTATCATAGCTTGAATTACTCTTCATAACTGAGGATCAACTTTTTTCATATGCAATATTTGCTTCTTATTTACATCGTGTTTATTAGATTTTTTCTTCCTCGCATGGATGCTGTATACGGAATTAGATTATAAATGATTAAAATCTTATTTTGGACCAAGTAAAACAAATCCGTAATTCGAACAACCTAAATTTATAGGACTGACTCCAAAACATGACGCTCTTTTATCTATCTCATTTCAAAGTTTGTCGTCTGGTATTCCATAAGGAAAAAAAGAAAAGAAAAGGAAAAAAATATATACCTACCTTGTCTATTTTAGCTTTTATTTAGTCAAATAGCTTGGCTTGATTTCGATCTTCAAATAGATGATGCCACGGGCTCTTTCAGTTTATACTACCCAGACCAGAGGTTGTAATTTGCGAGATGACTGATTGTTAACATTTTATTGCTGTTGGTCATCCTTCTCTGCACTTATTTACCTCCATTACCCCTGTAATTTTTTTCTTTGTGTTGTCTACATGCATCTTACGTCTTACATATACATATACACATAGACATACATTCATACATGTATGCATACATATATGTGCACACACACACACACACACACACACACACACACACACACACACACACACACACACACACACACACACACACACACACACACACACACAAGCATACATGTAAACATACATGTACACATACAAACACATACAAACACGATATATATATATATATATATATATATATATATATATATATATATATATATATATATATAAGTATATATCATGATATATATAGAAATAAATCAGTAAATATATATACATATATATATATATATATACATATATATATATATATATATATATATATATATATATATATATATATATATATGTATATATATATATATATATATATATATATATATATATATATATATATATATATATATATAATATATATATATATATATATATATATATGATCCCCCCAAAACGCCAGTGATATCGTTCCTAAAATAGATTTTTCGTAGCGCCTTTTCCACATCTGTCTTGTGACTTTCTTGTCAGCCAATCACAGCGAGGCAGCCCTCTAATAGGAACCGTAATTATATATATTTATATATAAGTGATGACGTTATTTTGAAGTTCCTATAAAGGCCTTTTCAAAGTCTTGTTAAAAGAAATAGCGTCTCCTTCCGTTTGTTAATTTGTTTAGGTGTTGCATTGGCATGATATTCTAGTGTATTAATAATAATAATGATAATAATAATAATAATAATAATAATAATAATGATAATAATAATGATATTGATAATAATAATATCAATAATAATGATACTAATGATAATAATAATGATAATAATAATAATAATAATAGTAATGGTAACAATAAAAAAAAAAAAAAAAAAAAAAAAAATAATAATAATAATTATAATAATAATAATAATAATAATGATAATAATGATAATAATAATAACAATAATAATATAATAATGATAATAATAACAATAAGGATAACAATAATAAAAAGAAGAACAAGAAAAAGAAGAAAATGAAAAAGAAGAAAAAAGAAAATGAAATGAAAATAAGAAAAAGAAGAATAAAGAAAGTGAAATGAAAATAAGAAAAAGAAGAATAAGAAAAAATATGATAGAGAATAAGAATAAGAAGTAGAATAAGACTAAGACTAAGATTAAGACTAAGATCAAGAATAAGAGAAAGAATAATAATAAAAAAAAAACCACACACAACGGAAGAGCATAAGAAGCAGGAGAAGCAGAAGGAGGAGGAGAAGGAAGAGGAAGAGGGGGAGGAGGAGGAGGAGGAGGAGGAGGAGGAGGAGAAGGAATAGGAAGAGGAAGAGGAGGAGGAGGAGGAGGAGGAGGAGGAGGAGGAGAAGAAGAAGAAGATGAAGAAGGAAGAGGAAGAGAACGCTCAAAAGGACCCCAATCTTTTTCTCTGTCTCCCTCTTCTCCGCCTCCGCAGAGTCTGAGGTTAAGCAGGGAGACTTGGCAACACCGGCGGATTCCAAGCTCGACTCACGCCTTCATAGACCTTCATAATCGTGTGAGATGCGAGTGGGCGGGGTCGTCGGTGGGCGTTGGGAGTTTATTATCCATTTTATGGACGTTTTTATTCAAGCTTTCTTTTATTTTCTTAAGTTCTCTACTTCTTCCTGTTTATTTGTCTGTTTGTCAGTCTGTCTGTTTTTGTCTATTAGTATGTATGTCTGTCAGTCGATTTCTCTCTCTCTCTCTTCCTCTGTCTGCACACACACATAAACACACACACACACACACACACACACACACACACACACACACACACAGACACGCACACGCACACACACACACACACACACACGCACACGCACACACACACACACACCCACACACACGCAAAAACGCGCACACACACACACACACAAGATACGCACACGCACACGCACACGCACACGCACACACACACACACACACGCACACGCACACGCACACACACACACACACACACCCACACACACCCACACACACGCAAACACGCGCTTACACACACACACACACACACACACACACACACACACACACATATATATATATATAAATATATATACATATATATATATATATATATATATATATATATATATATATATATATATATATATATATATAAATATAAAAATGTGAGTGTATTTATATTTATTTCCTTTTACCTTCAATTTCCATTATGCCTTTTTCTGTTACATTCATTTCTCTCTAAATGGTTTCCCTGGTACTTGTCTCTGAACAGATAATGTCCTCGTTGACACACACATACACTTGGATGCACACGATGACACATAAACGAGATACACAAAGACATAAATGAAATCACATACACACATGCGTACCTGGTTACACATATGTGCATACATACATAGACATAGAGTTACCAGAAGCATAAATCGATCTCCGTTAACACACAGAGACAAAACAGAAATATAGAAAAAATATACAAAGAATGCCTGCACACAGAGAGCTAATACATAAATAAAAATTGTAAACTCAGATTTGTGAATATTAGTCACGAGATTTGCAGAAGAAAAATTCAATATTTGCAGATCTGGACCACCACCACCTTCAGAAATGACGGCCGGAGTGTATCATTTCTCTTTTGGGCTCAACAGAAAACCCTGAAGAGTATTTTGGATGCTTAGAAATACTGATCTGAATGAAGTGAACGTACGAAAATAACAGCTCCGCGGCCTGGGACATCGTGTGGGGGCCTAGGCGTTTTAAGAACTCCACGAACAGAAGGATATGATACATACTCTAGCGAGTTAAAGGACGAGGAGACACACCGAATAATTCTGTTTCTATTTTTAGATTATTTTTATCAAGGCAAAAATATACTGGAGAAGTTGGTAATATTTGGATGGATGCAACATGTTCGTTGTATTTCAAATCATAAGTATCAAGCTGTCAATTATCAGATAGTCATCATCACAAACCGGTCAGTGATTGAATATCATCACCGACCTCTCAGTTATCGACTACTTATTATGACTAATTCGTCATACAACTACTACTACTACACACACACGCACACACACACACACACACACACACACACACACACACACACACACACACACACACACACACACACACACACACACACACACATATATATATGGTTCGGACAGAGTATGTGCTTTGCTAGATTTATACCAGATGAAGGATGTAGGTCAGTAACAAAATGCACGAGGCAGATTATCTGTGCAATATGAGGAAAGATGTTTGGTGTGCTGGTCAGGGAACGGCGGAGTCGGCGAGGTCCACTTAAGATTCAGAAAAAATATGAAATGTCGTATCATGTTACCTGTGCAGGTGATGGTGGCAACGGTAACAGTTGCCGAAGTCAATTTAAGAAACCGATTTCTTCTTTACACTATGGAATTATTATAATGAAGAGGACAACTTACGTAGAAACAAGAAACGGTATATGCACTATTTGTTCCCATACAGCTCATACACCGATGATTTGCTCGTATAATAAAGATTTGTTAACGCTTTGTCTCCGGGCTTGACGGCGTTCGGGCGTGGAAGCCCAATGTGAGCCGAACTGCGAAGGCCGCTGCCCCTTCGTCAGAAACCCGAGCCTCCAGGTGTTGAGAATATAAGTGGGCGAGATCGACGAGAGGAGGTAGTACGACTTACTAGCTCTTACAGTCACCGTCATGAAGACTTGTCTAATCGGTGAGGACCTGACGGGCTCCAGGGTGACCTGTGTGACCCGGAGATCTCTAGGGGAAGTTTTGTGCTGAGACTGAGAAGTAACGATTTCCACGAACTCTAGTATATATAATGGGACACTAGCCAAAACAAAGTTCACTCTTCATAACAGCCATATGTATAACCCATATTTATTTCAAATTTCCATTGCAGTCCTCGCCTTCCTCGGCATGGCGGCCGCCGTCCCCGGCCTCCGCCACCGCCGCGACTCCTTCCCCTTCCTGTTCGAGCTGCCCTCCAACGCCTCCCTCATCCTGGGCGGCATCCAGACCGGCTTCGAGTGCGGCGACCTGCCCTACGGCTACTACGCAGACACTTCCAACAACTGCGCCATCTACCACGTGTGTCTGCCCTACATCGACAATGACCTGTACGTGACCCGCCACTTCTCCTTCCTGTGCGGCGCAGGCACCATGTTCGACCAGGAGCGCCTCGTCTGCGACTTCCCCGAGAACTCCGTTGCCTGCCAAGAATCAACCTCCTTCAGGAGAGTAAATGAGTACTTCGGCCGCCCCGTCAACTTCCTTGAGAAGTAAACAAAGCAGGAAGGTCATCCCTGTCTGATCAGGATTGTGTATTTTCCCAGTGTTGTGGTACTGCGGCACTGGGTTATGCGGCCATTGTCTTTCACTCCTTGATTGCCAAGTTCAAGTATCTCCCGGCTTTGTTTCGAATTTATGATTAGTGAGCATTCTTTTTCTTTTTGACTCAGAAGAATCGATTGCATTTCTCTTCTCTTTTGTAAATCATATTTATGTAACGGTTGAAAAGTTATGGACCATATGTTTAATAAAAGTATTTTTGAATCTACTACTCACATTGTTTTATAATACTTTTACTTTATCGGAAGGAAGAAGCAGTTATGAATTTCGCCACATAACTGTATTTGGAAATATTGATTACTTGTTTACTTATATACTCTTTAATCATATGACACAAACATATCCAACATATCATTCAGATATCGGTCAACCTTAATATCGGTAGATGATTTCCGAAAATTCACTTTTGTTCTCATGACTGGATTGAGTAGAATGCACAATCCAAGAACTTTCCAAATGCTTGGGTTCTGGTCGTCATCCAAGAGACTTCTCATGACTTTGCATCCTGACATAATCCAAGGAGTGACCCCTGGATCTTTGATTATTTTGTGAGAATCATTACAAGGTGGGGTCTCTATAATCCCAATATGAAATCGGTTCAAAAGCTACTGAATATATATGTCTAAGCTTTAACTGCACGTCTGGCTATTTGCGTTCTCCTACAAATCTTTCCGTGCATACCATGACAGTCCAGACATGCGCACACGCTTGAGAATCACACAAACACGCATATAGTATACTATATCTATCTATCTATGGCTCCTCCAAATCCCATTCTCACGATCAGAGTTGAAAATTCCTCATCTAAAGTACATGAGATGTTATTGTTAAATAGTGTATGATTTAAAATGCTCAAATGTTAATATTAAAACTGATAAACTTTGTAAACATTTTGTGAATAAGTTGGATTTTTTAAGAAAATGGGATTTTATTTCCATATCAAAAGCACAAAAACACGCTTGGTAAGTATTAATAAGATTATACAATGTAACATATTTATTGCTCCCCGGTTTTACGTGTCATTTTCTGGTTCGTTATATCTCAGTATTATAAAAAAAAACACTAGTATTCAGTCAGAAGTTTGTTTTGTGATCAGGACATTGATATTTCGAAATTGTCATACTTTCTTCAAGAAAAAAATATCAGTTCATATATCAAATGAACAGAATACATTTTGATTTTATCACACAAGCTTATCAAAAGCAAACAAATAAAACAAAAAACACCGATAAAGAAAGTCATACACATCAGGAATGAATGGATTTCCTTGATTTGCAGTTGTGGTCCAGATCACATTCCTGTACAAGCCTCCATCCTTTTTTCGTTGTAGTGGCCTTGGTATCTCCATCTGTTTCACATCCTGGTGGAATCATTCGCCTTGTTCTTCTGAGTAGGTGCCCATATTGACCTCAAGTTTTTCCAGGTGAGCGTCCAACATATGGAGTTCAAGCGACATCCTGCATCCCGTGGCACCAAAAGCCTTTATAAGATCCTGCACCAGTTGCTGGTAGTTTTCTGTAATTGGCCAGGAAGCCCTTAATAACTGCCTTGAAACAGTTCCATGCTGTTATCTCAATCACACTGAGCCTATTGGAAAACTCGGTAGACGCAACCACAACAAAAATCTCACCTTTGATTCTGCCTTCAGGAGAATTCAAGAAAATTCTTGAACGCGGCTGATTCTTGGTCGAGAGCCTTCGCTCATATCACCACTGCACATTAAGTTAGGGCTAACGAAGCAGTTCGCTTCGTTAGCCCCAACTTAATGTGCAGTGGTGACATGAGACAATCCTAGGCTCAATCAGCAGCTCCCACATGACATGACTTTTGTAGTGCTCAGGGGTGTCCCTGCTGTCCCAAAGGCAGAGGAAGCATTGAAACCTGATAAAGCCTGCTTGGAGTCCAAGCAAGAAAGCCACCATCTTAAAGTCTCCAATGAGTTCCCAATTGTACTGGTTGTATTGCAGAGCTTCCAAGTTGACTTTCACACTGTGGCAGTCTTCCTTCAGGACGACTGAATTGGCTAGGGGCAGCGGGGGGGTTGAACAGCCTTCAAACTTGTGGTTGAGCTGTTTATAAATAGTCGCCACTCCTTGGGCACAAACGGCACCCCAATCGTGTCAAATAGTCCAGGCACTTCATGTCAGAAGCAGAGGCCATCTCTAAGAGTATAAAAAACCTGAGAAAATTTTTTGTCGAGTTCTCTGACTTGTCATCTGCACATCCTCCTTGACTAAATTCCACGGTTTTCATCTGCGAAATTAATAGCTCTGTATTGGACATTGATCAGATCCATATCCCTGATCAGGTCATTAACTTCCTTTTGGTTTGGAAAATGAGGAACTATTTCTGGTACCTCAGGCAAGTATTCCAAGTCCTCGGCATCCATCTCCTCCTCATCAGAATACTTGTCCTGGACTTCATCTTCAGCAGGTGGTACGAGTACAGGACATTTGAAACAGCGGGGAATTGGAGCAATTGATGATGGAAGAAGATCTGGATTATCTACATTATTCTTTCCTTTCTGCCGCTTGCTGACATCCACCATGTAAAAAAGCAGTTTGTGGAGTGGTCTGTTGGCTTAAACCAGACCCTTGGGTTGGAAAATTTCAGGGACCTTTTCTCACCTCGTAGCTACCCTTCCAGTGTCTTCTTACAGTGCTCACAACAGTAGTGAGGGGTACAGGGCTTTTCCTGGTGCTCAACTGGCATCCCAAAGTACTGGTAGGATTCACAAACCTTTGATGTTTCTAGGGAGAATTTTTCACTCTCTTCTTTATATATTCGCCATATGTATAACAGAAAGAGTCGGGGTGGTGCCGACAGCCTCTTGATGCCATCCTAGAAACGCTTGAAAGCACAACCTTATCTTATTTCAAGGCGCGAAGACGCAGTATCTATAAGGGTCTTTAGTCAAATTTTTAAAAATTATATACTTTATCACATTAACAGAAAATCCACCAGAGTGTGGAAGTCACCGTCTGGAATTGAATTAAATATAGAACAAGTTTAAAAGGACAAGTGTCCTTCCCTTTTAATTCCCAATATGTTTGGACCAGAATAAATCCCTGAGGTGGAGAGCAAGTGTGCAGGCTTTGAAAATAATGGGTTTTTCTTTTGATGAAATTGCACCTTGATTGAGTGTGGACAGATGATTGCCTGGAATGTTTGCAAACCCAAACTATTGACTATTTAATAGCATTTATTAATTTATTTGGGACCTAACCAGCACAACAAATTATAACATGCCAAGAACAAAGAAAAGAAATTGTCACATTGTGTTATCATGACACCTGGCAATGACAGTATGACAATTTTAGATCCTTCCTTATTTTGTCATTGTACACTCAGCTTTAAGATACATGCTAAGAAATAAAGAATATGCCAAGATGTTTTTCTTTTTTTATATCTTCAGAGCAAAAAATCATGAAAATTAGTTTGTTTAAATCTGTTACTTTCGGTGCACAGGAGGCTCAGCGCAGACCTCTCCCGAGACACTTTAGCCCCAAATTAATTTTTCATTCTTCTGAGTCTTGGAAAAGACCTTTCTCCTGAACAGTTAGTGACCATTAAGCTAAGAAACAACCGCATTAGGGAAGGCCATGTGTTTCTTTTTCTCTATATTTTAATAAAGGTCTATATTAGACAGAGAATGCGAAAGCCACTCTCGGTTGTATGTAGATCTATGTTTGGCATCATCACTTTCTGAGTCTGAATACCCTGGCCTGCCTAACCAGATGAGAGCTGAGAATTCTGTGGGCCTTTAACCTCTCGCTGTCTGGTAACCCCTGAATTAGTTCTATATTTTCATTTAGAGTCGTGATGTTTACTGTTCCACGTCCTTCTTCGCTGTTTCTTTTAGCAAGGTTTTCTTCTGTTTAAATGCCAGTAGTAGCTGGACGGCTCCAACACACTGATCTCCTTGTATTAGTATCAGTGTATCTGCTTCCTCCCGAGCACTTGTTACTTCTGTCAGTGCAGTGGCTGATGCAAGAAAGCAGTGATTGGTGTTAACATCTTTACCGTATGTTCTTCAATTCTCTTTCGCTAGCGTGTGCTGTGTGGTGCAGCGGTAGAAATCTCGTCTAGCAATCTTGCTGACCTGCGTTCAAATCCCTCGCCGCCAGTGGATTGTAAACCCGGCCATTCTTTGCACACAGGGGATACTTTAGAAGCAAAATGAAACAGACAGTATGTCACACCAAAAAAAGAATATCCATTGTAACAAATGGAATCAAACTAAATTATTATAGTTATTATTATTGCTAGATTCACTTTCAATTATTTTACTTCTGCTCGGATTAAAATCTGCAATTAAAGAGTAAAACTGTTCTTCAACAGACATTAGACAGGAAAATAAGGAGGGGAAAATGAACAACTTTTTTTACGACACTTGGCGTTACGATATTTGCCGTCGATGGCGACATTTGTTGGCTCCATAGGCGTTTTTTCTGTATTACATATACATGCATTTTTCTTAAAGAATTCTTTCCTACTGACAATTATATTGGAAAATCTGAATAAAATCTGCATCGAAAAACCGTTCTCAAAACGAGTTTGCCTTTTTTTATCATTAACAGAGACAATGCAAATAAGCGCATTTTTATTCCCTTATTTGACTGATAAAAACGGCAATGCCCTTTTCATATACTTGCACAGCTATGTTTTATGCTTATCTACCTCATTGCTTTCCTGGAAGAACAAAATGCTGTTATCGAGTCATCGCCTTAAGAAAGAATTCTCCTGAAATGGAATGGAAGGAAGGGTTGCTTAACATCTACATTACATTATGACATCATGTGTAAGAAAGACCTATGACAGTGACAAATATATGGTTCACATTGGCTGAGGGCCCACTAGATTTTGAGGTTTCAGCCTGCTAAGCCTATATATATATATATATATATATATATATATATATATATATATATATATATATATATATATATATATAAACACACACACACACACACACACACACACACACACACACACACACACACATACACATACACATACACATACACATACACACACACACACACACACACACACACACACACACACACACACAGACATATATATATATATATATATATATATATATATATATATATATATATATATATATATATGTATATATATATATATATATATATATATATATATATATATATATATATATATATATATATATATACATTTATATATATGTATATTTATATATATACATTTATATATATATATACATATATATATACATATATATATATATATATATATATATATATATATATATATATATATATATATATATATATGTTTATATATATTTATACATACAAAGATATACAGAGAAACCCCCTGAGTACGAAGAGTCCCGCCCCGTGCCGGCAGCGTAAAAGGCTCGGCAGCGGAACCGTGCCAAAGGGAAATGCTACCCCGGGTATCGCTCGAGCTGCCCGTCGGGGAGTTCTCAGTTTCCAGCCGTGAGAAACGCTTTATAATGAAGATTTTTTTTTTTTTCTAAGAACCACTGTCCTTGCGTTCACTTTGTCCTAGAAGAAGGTTGTTGAGTAATGCACTGTGTTTGCTTGTTTTGATAGATTCCTTTTCTGGAGGAACGAATGGATTAATATTTCAAATCGGGAGGTCGATGTCTTGGTAAATGGATTGGTAAATAGACGAACAGATAAGTAAGTCCAGGGTAAATAATAGTAATATCAGTGAATATTTAAGTTAAATAAATCGTTGGTGATCATAAAACAGTGACAATGATTGTTAATTAAATTGAATGTAAAAATACTGAGGATACAGTTGTAAATGTAAATAACATAAATTATGATAAACAGAGATTGTGATAGTAAAACATATACATGATAGTAAAACATAAAGAATATTGAAAGCTATGATAATGATAATTATATCAACAATTGCAATAATACCAGCTACAACTATTAGTACAACTACTATTGATTTTACTTCCACTACTTATGCTGTATTTAAATATGATGGCAATTATCATAATGATACTACTGATCTATCCCCACCGCTACTACTACTACTTCTACTACCACTAGCACTACCACTATTACTACTATTTTAACAATTGTACTACTACTATTATGAACAATGATAATAATATTTATGGTATTGATGAAAAACGTACTGCGCAAAGTTCCCCTTTGCTGCTGGGTGATGACAATGACCATGTTGATAATGACTGTCATATTCCTCCTGGCGAAGGCGAACTGGTAATGACCTCCTTCCCCGTGCGTAGACTTAGTGCTCGTCCTTCAGATCTGCGAAGGAATGTCGCTGGAGGTGGATCGTATATCAGAACGTGAGAAAGTTAGTTATCCTGTAGAGCCCAGCCGCGTATATAAAAGTGAGAACTATCCGTGTCGAATTAATAATTCGTCGTCATCGAGTTCTGCAACATGAAATTCCTCGTAGCTGGTAAGGTCTATTTTACCGAATATATCTCCAATATTGTTATCTGCTTAACAAACATGTAAATTATATTTTCGACTACCCAGCATCACAAAAAGCATGTGTTAATGGAGTTGATATTGTGTGTTCGTGAAAAATGCGCTCGCCCGCAGCGTGCCTCCTCGCGGGAGTGGCTCTCGCCCTGCCCAGCCGTGAGCGTCGGGACTCCAGCGAACTGTTCTTCAATCTGCCTGCCAACGCCTCGCTGCTGCTCGGAGGAATCAACACTGGTAGGTCTCTTTGGCCGCTAAATAAGCTCGTAAAATCATGAAGGTTTTTTAACGCAAAGAAGCTTCGCCAATGACCCTAGCAGAAAGAGGATCGGAACAAAGAGGAAGTGCCTTGCCGCGCTGTGCCAGGCAAGGCACGTTCAATCTCGAAGCAAAAGGGTCATCCTATAACTTTCTTGTCTATGAATTTAAACATTATTTCTAAAAGGATACAGAACTTGGATAGTAGATTATGTGAACACTTTGCCGATAAGGTGTCTAGCCTCTTAAAAGCTCGGTGCTTCGCAAATACTTGACGGAAAAGAGTCAAGGGAAGTAAATTTCTTGAATTATTTCCTTCAGCTTAATCTTGGTTGACTTTGCAATAATCACTTCAGATCCTGTTTCAGTGACGAGGTTATTCCGGTCATCCTAGAGTCTGAAGTTGTAATATATTAGACTCACTGAAAGCCCAGTAAAACCTGAAGGATTGCTTGCAGCTTTTGATAATTTTTTCGTTGGTTATCATTACTGTTTTCTTTTGCTTATAAGAAGACATATAAATGGTCTCTGAAGTGCAGCTTTTGCAGGGTTAAGTATTTGCTATCTTGTCTTAAAACCGTTGAATAGTGCTTATGAGTTGTTATCCCCTTTCGTATTTTTTCGGGGTGTGGGGAACTTTCAGACATACATTCATCTGTTTTTTTTCTCTGTTAATCATTTGTAATCCAAGAGATGGTGAATAATGTTCAAGCACTTCCGACAAAGTTGCCAGCTAAACCCCAATAACCCAGAAATCACGAGACTCCTTATCCTCACAGCCCTCTGACGGCGACTCTTCTCCAGGTTTCGGCTGCGGTGATCTTCCCTACGGCATGTACGCTGACGAGGCCAACAACTGCGCCGTCTTCCACGTGTGTCTGCCCTACATCGACGGCGACACGTACATCACCCGCCACTTCTCCTTCCTGTGCGGCGAGGGCACCATGTTCGACCAGGTTGGCTATTGTATTATTTATTTACTACTTCTTTTCTAATGGTTATCATTTCCCCCCCATTCATCCATGTTCTACTTTTTTCATTTCTAGTTAATACCATGTTACGATATTCCATAAAATCCCCGATCTAATTAGCTAATACTATTCATTCTCGTACAGATCTTCCTATCTCTCACTCACTCACTTATCAATTATCGCTTATTCTCCTTCCAATTTTTATATCACAGGAACGCCTTATCTGCGACTTCCCCGAGAACTCCATCGCGTGCTCTGAGTCAGTCAACTACAGGAAGTCCAACGAGTACTTCGGTCGTGACGTCAACTTCCTGGAATAGACGTCGACGGCAAGAACTTCAGTTAATTAATTCGACGACCTTTCTCCGTAATGCTAAGTGATGCCGTGAGACCAAAAAGAGTACAAGCACAATCTATCCCCCTACTTTATGCCGAACGAATATCTCGGCAGCAGTCAAATATATGCTTCTGTCCAACTTTAAGCCTCTTGTCTCGTTTCATCCCATTTTAAAAGTTAAGTGAGGATTGGCAGATTAAGTAAATAAAAGCTTCGAAAGTTTTGCTTTTTTTATTTTTGTCGAAAATGGATAAAAGCGAGAGAGAAAGAGAGAGAGAAAGAGAGAGAGAGAGAGAGAGAGCGATGGAGGGAGGGAGAGAAAGAGAGAGAGAAAGAGAGAGAGAAAGAGAGAGAGAAAGAGAGAGAGAAAGAGAGAGAGAGAGAGAGAGAGAGAGAGAGAGAGAGAGAGAGAGAGAGAGAGAGATGGACATGCAGATAGAGAGGGAGAGATTTATACGTACAAAACACACACACACAAATACATGTATATCATCAATAACTATCTGTGTATCTATCTATCTATCTATTTATATACATTTGTCTCTCTATCTAGTTAAATATACATTGATCTAGAGATATGGCTACAGAACTCTGATTATCATAGGCACTAAATATTATAGAGACCAAGAGGAAGGGCGGACGGGGCCAGGTAACCAGCCGGCCCGAGCAGAACCTTTCGCTGATTCAGACATTCGCGTTCGGTTTTTCATTGTGTCTTTGACGTTGAAAAGTCCTCTCGAGTGGAATGTTCGCACCTTTGTGGTGAAAAAGAAGCGAAATAATCACCTGTATTTCGTTCTTTTGCGACGGAATCCATTCACTTTACTATACTGCTAAACTTGGCGGTTGCGGTTACCGTTGTAAAAAAGAAAGAAAGAAAGAAAAATTTGTCGCAATTTTGTTAGCTCTTTCCTTAGGGTCCCTAGTAAAAAGGCGCCAAAACGTGCCAAGAAATTTTCTCCTGGAGAGCAAAGAAGACGCTTGTCACAACAAACCAGAATATTTGCACGTGAGGCAGAAGGGTGCCCTGCACGCAGTCGAATTGGCAAACCACTTAGCAAGAACCACTTATTATAACTCGTAATATGGAACGACTGGACACAGTAGGGGAGACTAGCCTTCTACAAACAGTCCACTTCCACACACATTATGAAGCTGTCTGATACCCTGGGCGTCGCTTCTGTGGGGCATTAGGTCTCTGTGAGGAAACCACGCTCTCAGCCTCAAAAGGAACTCAAGGTCGCGCCGGTCCTTTGGGCTAGCCTCGGGCCCCACCGTGCAACCTTGAGGAC